TTTTATTTCACGCATACTCCTTAATTTTTTCATAGTAATCAAAATACGAAACCTCTTATTCAGATCTATCGAACAAGATTTTCTACAAACTTAGTCGCTTTAAATATTTTTTTTCTAAGAACATTTCGAGTAACCGGTTCACTCTTATTCTTTAATTCTTCAATGCAATCAAAATATGTTTAAAACCTCTTATTCGGATCTAGATAAGATTTTCTGCAAATCTTGTCGTTTTAAATATTTTTTTTCTAAGAACATTTCGAGAAAACGGTTCATTCTTACTCTTTAATTCTTCAATGCAATCAAAATACAAAACCTCTTATTCGGATCTACCGAACAAGATTTTCTGCTAACTTTGTCGCTTTAAATATTTTTTTCCCCTAAGAACTTTTCGAGTAACCAGTTCATGCATACTTTTTAATTCTTCAATGCAATCAAAATGCAAAACCTCTTATTCGGATCTAGATAAGATTTTCTGCTCATTTTGTTGCGTTAATTATTTTTTTCTTATAACATTTCGAATAACCGGTTCATGCATACTCTTTAATTCCTCAATGCAATCAAAATGCAAAACCTCTTATTCGGATCTAGATAAGATTTTCTGCTAATTGTGTCGCTTTAATTATTTTTTTCTTAGAACCTCTTAAGTAACTGGTTATTTTTCAAAGATGTTTTAACCTTTATACCCATTTCGTACATTTTTATTTCTGATATCACGAAATTAAAAAGCGCAGTTTTAATAGATATGAAGTTTTTGAAAATTTACATAATAGATCAATAATTTCGTATAATTAGGATACTTAGGAAATATAATAAGGAATTCGTATAATTAGGAAATTGTTTAATTCCGCTTTATTTAAAATGTTCCTCACACAAATAGTTTAAAATTTCCCTTCTTTTTAATTTCCCGCCTATGCTTTAATTTTTCAAGTGGTTTTAACAAGAGTTACTTTTAAGTAACTTAGGTAAAAGAAAGTTGCTAGATTTGCACGTAATTTGCAATGATTTGCACCTATTTCTAAAATATAAGGGCAAGTTAGTATGAAATATTAATTATGAAGAAATTGAAAAAAAAGACGAAAATAAGAAAAAAAAAGGGAAAGAAAGAAAATGTTAAGATATAATGCAGCAATAATAATTATAAAAATAATTACTGGTCCTTCAGAGCAATAAGCATCATTATGTACTGGTCTGCAAACAAAATCACTGGACTATTCAGAATTTAAAGTTAATTTTATTTGTACATCACTTAAAATTGTTTTAATGTTTCACAATAACATCATATTTGTTAGGTACTAAAGAATTCTCGAGTGCTAAAAAATTCTTTCAATTTCAGGCTCGAATACAAAAGAATCCTTTCGATCTCGGACTCGGGTACAAAATAATCTTTACGATCTCGGGCTCTGGAACAAAATAATCCTTTCGACCTCAGACTCAATTTGACTTGGACCTAAAAAATTTACCTGCACTGTTAACTTGTTGTTTGTCAGTCATTTTAGTTCGTATGCCTACTAGTTTGCTTACTCATTTTTTTATTTATTTTTTATTTACCTATGATAAAGAAATGGTTTTTGTGATGTCGTTGCTGTGTTATTGGTCAGTTTCTGGGTTGTATGATTACTTTTAAGGAAAACTTCAGAAAAACTAAGGGAAGAAGACCCTCGAAAGACACGTGACACATAGAGATTTTTGAGATGTCACGGATTTGTGATTTTTCAGTTATTCACGTTTGTTTGCTTAAAATTAAAAAAACAATATTTGTGATGTCACTAATCTGTTGTTCTGTTGGTTTATGATGCTGTTGTTATCAAAGCATTACCTTTTTCTAAACTAGACTGATAACTAATTTTGTTACCACTTTTTTATTTACTGTCAATAATACAAGACGAATCTCACTTGTCAAATGGCGCCAATGGGTTGAAAGAGTCTATTTTTACTTCAGTTTATCAATAAACAATTTCTGGTGCTGTCTTTGAAAACAATATTTAATTTCAGAACACTACAGTAAATTGTTATCTTAAAAGTGTCACATGTGTCTTTCGAAATATACGAAAATCAAAATGTCAAAAAACGTCATCCATATTTTTTTCTTTCTTCATTTTTTGCCACAATTCGTTCCAGACACGCTTGGCAGAAAAAGGAACAAGTCCATGAAGATTCGACATGAGAATAATTTTGTATTCGATCTCATCTAAACTCTTGTTTATCAGTTATCAAAAGCTCATAGAAAAGTCGCCAAGTCAGTCTTTTCTGCGGTCGCTTTTCTCTTTTCTAATGTTCTCTAATCATGGCATATGATAACTGACTGCATTTGGGAGATTTAAAACGCACGCAATGTTAATTTTGGATTTCTTATGAGAAAAAAGATTAGCATATTTTTACATAGATTAATGTTTTGCTTATTGTCGCCAACTATTATTTTTTTAGTTTATTTACTTACTCGATTTACCAGTAAGGGATAAAAAAGTTTGTTTTAACAGTTACTTTAGTTTGCATTCTTATAGTAAGACTCAATTAAAAGTGATCTTTTGAGATTGTGTATTTGTTGTTTTTTAGTAATATGCAGTTTTTCGACTGTCGTTATTCATTTGTTATTTTGCAGTAAAAAAGTAATTTTCCTGTTCTTGCTGATTTGATTTTCCAGTAAAAGAGCAGTTTATCTGCTGCTGCTGATTTTTTTAAAAGTGTTTATACTACTGTTGCTGATTCGTTGTCTTTCAGTAAAAAAGTGTTTATCCTGCTGTAGTTGATTTGTTTTCTCAGTAAAAGAGTGGTTTATCTGCTATTGCTGATATTTTTTACATTTGAAAATTTTTTCCTGTTCTTTGCTAGTTTGTTTTTCCAGTAAAAGAGTAGTTTATCTGCTGTTGCTGATATTTTGTTTTTCAGTAAAAAAGTGTTTATCCTGCTGTTGTTTTGTTTTCTCAGTAAAAGACTAGTTTATCTGCTTTAGGCTGATATTTTTTACGTCTGAAATTTTTTTTCCTGTTCTTGCTGATTTGTTTTTCCAGTAATAGAGTAGTTTTTCTGCTGTTGCTGGTTTTTTTAAAAATGTTTTTACTGCTGTTGCTGATTTGTTGTTTTTTAGTAAAAAAGTGTTTATCCTGCTGTTGTTGATTTGTTTTTTAAGTAAAAGAGTGATTTATCTGTTATTGCTGATTTTTTTATGTTTGAAAAAAGTGTATTTATTGCCGTTGCAGATTTGTTGTTTTTTCTGTGAAAAAGTAATTTTTCTTCTGTTGCTGATTTGATGTTACTTAATTATTTTATTTTGTGCATACTAGTTGGGGATAATAAAAATATACCATTCACCAAGGAAAAAATTCTCAAACCTATGTTTCAGACGCATTTAACAGCTTGTTAACATGCTGAAGTTTAAACAAGCTCTGTAAAAAAAAAAAAAAGAGAAATTGTTCCAATTAATTAGCTGAGTTTAGTTGGGCCTAGTTCACATTTCTTCATAACGAGTAGGTTGGGATCCATTGATATAGTGTGTAGAGCGCAGAATGAAAAACGGAGCACCCAGAATAACTTCTGATTTAATTGTCGGATCTTCATGTTCTAGGATTCAATCTTGAAGATTCAAGGGAGTAACCTCAAATATGCTAACTAGAAAATAGTAAAAGAATTAATAAAGTAAAGACTTTTCCAAAATTCGATTTCTCAGGAATTATTCGACCGATTTCGTTCAAATTTTGTATTTTCCCATTACTAATTGCGTTCTCTAAACTGACGTAAAAAAATTTTATGCCTTGCAAATAAATTTTTTTCGGCTATTATTAAATAAAATAATGAAAAAAATAATAAATATTTACTAAAAGTTACATTGTGCATGGATCTTTGTATAAAAAAATTTTATAATTGTGTGCAAAATTTTTTCGATTCGGTTGAACAGTTCTCAAGATATGTCAAAAGGAAATTTCGCAAAAAGGAAATTTTTCTTACGCAAAAAGGAAATTTCACATTAAGGAGTCCAAAATTTGGACCGCTCTTCTGACCAAACTATGGTAACCATATTTCTTCTATATCCTATATTTTTAGGTGACAAAATTCTGAATCCGTCGAAAAAAAGGTATGTTTGCACAAAGAAAGTGCGCTTTTGTGTCTGATTTCGTAACTCGTTAAAATTCGTCTGCACTAATTAGTTGGCAAGTTTTTATTTTTGTAACCGTCATTATACAGCCAACCCAATTTTGAGTTTGCTACAATTGTTCAACTCCGTAGTCTAGTAATTTTGAACCATCCCAAAAAACAAGCAAACTCTTAGATCAGTACCCCCAGAGGTATGATTTGTTATGGGAACATGGAGGACTTAATGGGAACATGTTATGGAACATGGAAGTAACTCTACAGATTTAACTCGCAACAGTCACCATTTACTACACGGGGAGTCTTCGGCCGGCGGGGATCGAACGCACGGCCTCTTGGACATGGGCCCAGTGCCCTACCAACCAGACTATCCCGGCTTAGTTAGCTTGTTTTATTTTATTTTATAACCGTCGTTGAACAGCCGAGGTTTACGACTACTAATGTTCAACTCCGTAGTCTTGTAATTTTGAACCCAATCCAGAAGACATGAGAACTCCTGGATTAAGTATTGGGAGAAATTTGACTCTTTTGATGGAACTAGCCCGCATTTGCGTTTCATGGAGAGGAAGACCACGAGAATCTCCCTCTGTTAGCCTGACGGCAAGGGGACTCTAACCCATGATCCGTCTACCACTGAGGATATTTCACGTCAGCACCGTGGTCGGTGCAACCCGGATGCGGAGTTCGTATCGACCAGCCATCGCCGGGATCGAACCCCGATTCACCTCATTGGAAGGTGAACGCTCTATCCCTGAGCCATCGCTGCTCTAGTTAGCATGTTTGAAGTCATCTCCACGAATCATTAACATACCAATGCGTCTCATGGTTCATAGAGACGAAATCAGATACACAGGTTCAACGGAACTTCAGGACAAATTTCCAAAGAGACCCACCATCCAGACCCTCCATCCGTGCATGGCACACAAGCTTCATGAGCACCGGATCAGTATTGCATAAAAGTGGAGCCGGACGACCCAGCACAAGTCCAGAAAATGTGGAGCGAATACGGCCATGAGACGCATTGAGCTTTCTGTTGTGGTGTCCACATCCTCACTTAAAACTTTTCAGCCTATTGAAAAAAAACTTTATTAGTTGCAGTAATACATGCAAAAGACAGAATATAAATATCTTGTTTATGTTCGAAGTTATGAATTTTTGAAGTTGTAAAGATAATTTTGGAACACCCTGTAGAGTCTTAGAACGTGAAGATCCAAAGTTATTTAGGGTGGTACATTCAGTTTTTTTGCGCACTGTTTACTGATACTAAGTTTAACTGTACTTTAATTGTACACAGCATACTGGGGGCCAATTGTTCGTGAAAATCTCTGATATCGAAGGACAACAGCCCTTAATACTAAATAAATCAAATTCTGGTATTTTCCTCTGTTTTAAGAAATTTGTGGCACTATTACCTATAACATGGCTAGTTACTCACTCCATCAAGTCTTCAGACGCATTTACCCAATCATCTTGTCAGGTGGCTATTGTCAGGAGCATAAATAGTAATTTGTCAATCCCTGTGTTTCTTTTTTTACCTCTATTTTTCCTGAGAGATATTTTACACCGTCATCCATGCGAGACCATAACCACTATCTATTTTAGATGAAATTCCTCCCGCAAACATTGAGGACAGGCAAAAGAAGATAAAGTGAATGGATTGGCCGGGATGTTGCGTCCAACGAATAGGAATTGTGTTTGCTTGAAGAAGACAGGCGCCTTTTCTGATTTTGATGTGAAATTAAATTCAATTTGGCTGAAATCAATCAAACTGTGAAGAATAATTTCCGAGGTGCTGTTTCTCACGTTTTGACAAGCAGTTAAAATTAGATGTTGCTGTCGATAACTTATACTGATAACATGACGTGTCCAAAATCTGTTTTAGACAATGGATATTGTTTCTTTTTTTATGGCATTTTAATGAGGAAAAGCATGTAAACTTCATTTGGAATTTAAGTATTATGTATTTTGTATTTTTTTGACATTTTCAGTTATGAAGTATTACTCCAAGCATACCAACTACTAAGCGTAACCTACTAAAAAGTTATTATTAATTAAATAATAATTACTAGTAAACTATCACTGTAAATTATCACAGTATCACAGTAAATTATTACTAATTAAAAAATAATTACTAAGTAAGTTATTACTTATTGAATAATAATTACTTTTGAGTTATTACAAATTAATTAATAATTACTTTAAAGTTATTACTAATTAAATGATAATTACTTTTAAATTATTTCTCATTAAATAATAATAGCTTATAAGTATAGCTTATTTAAGTATATAATATATTAATAATAGCTTATTTAAGTATTATGTATTTTTTATTTTTTTGACATTTTCAGTTATTAAATATTACTCCAAGCATACCAACAACTATCTTGAAAGCGTAACCTACTAAAAAGTTATTATTAATTAAATAATTATTACTAGTAGTAAGCTATCACTTCTTAAATAATAATTACTAGTGAATTATTACTAATTAAAAAATGAATTATAAATAAGTTATTACTCATTAAATAATAATTACTAGGAAGTTATTATCAATTAAATAATAATTGCTAAATAATTTTTTACTAATTAAATAATAATTACTTTTGAGTTATTTCTAATTAAATAATAATAACTTATAAGTTATTGTATTCAGTATTTTCCGTATGAAGATTTTGCTTGCTGTAGAATGCATTCTACAAAGCTGTTTCTCACGTTTTGACTAGCAGTTAAAATTAGATGTTGTTGTCGATAACTTATACTGATAACGTGATGTATCCAAAATCAGTGTTAGACAATGGACATTGTTTCTTTTTCATAGCATTTTAATGCAGAAAAACATGTAAACTTTATTTAGAATTTAAACATCACGTACTTTTTTTAAAGTTTTCAGTTATTAAATATTACTCCAAGCATACCAACTTCTATCTTGAAAGCATTATCCACTAAAAAGCTATTATTAATTAAATAATAATTACTAGGAAGTTATTATCAATTAAAAAAATAATTGCTAAAAATTTATTTCTAATAAAATAATAATTACTTTTATGTTATTATTAATTAAATAATAATAACTTATAAGTTATTGTATTTAGTATTCTCCGTATGAAGATTTTGCTTGCTGTAGAAGGCATTCTATAGTACTGTTTCTCACGTTTTGACTAGCAGTTAAAAATAGATGTTGTTGTCGATAACTTATACTGATAACGTGATGTATCCAAAAACTGTGTTAGACAATGGACAATTCTTTTTCATGGCATTTAAATGCAGAAAAACAAATAAACTTCATTTAGAATTTAAACATTATGTACTTCTTTTTTAACGTTTTCGGTTATTAAATATTACTCCAAGCATACCAACTACTATCTTGAAAGCGTTATGTACTAAAAAGTTATTATTAACTAAATAATAATTACCAGGAAGTTATTATCAATTTAAAAATAATTGCTAAATAATTTATTTCTAATCAAATCATAATTACTTTTAAGTTATTACTAATTAAATAATAACTTATAAGTTATTACTACTAATTGTATTTATTATTTTTCGTATGGCGATTTTGATTGCTGTAGAAGGTAAACTACAACAATCGAAATGACTCTGATTTCGACGGCGTAATTTAATTGGAATAATTTTGAATTTTAAGGAATAATTTCTGAGGTTCTATTTCTTATATTTTGACTAGCAGTTAAAATTAGATATTGTTGTTGCAGACAACTTATACTAATAACGTGACGTATTCAAAGAAAACTCTGTTTTAGACGATGGTTATTGTTTCTTTTTTTACAGCATTTTAATAAAGAAAAACATGTAAATTTTATTTGGAATTTAAATAATATAGACTTATTTTTTGATATTATCAGTAACTAACTATCAAATAAATATTTCCAAACTATGAATTTTGAAAGTAACTACTAAAAATTTATTACTAAGTTAATAATTATTTGCAACTTATTATTAATTAAATAATAATGATTAAATAGTAATTATTTATAAGATTTTATTTCTAGTTGTAAAGAGTATTTTACATATGGAGATTTTGATTGTTGTAGAAGGCATTCAACAGCAGTTATTTTTATCAGTTACGAAATATTAAATATTTTTAAACTATGAATTTACCAACTACTGATTCGAAAATGCTAATAAATTATTAATAATTAAATGACTACTGAAAATTACACCTAGTTGTAGTTAGTATCCAACGAATGAGAATTTCGATTGCTGACGAAAACAGATGCTTGTTCTGTATATATCTAAATTAAATTTTTTGAAATAAAATTCTTAACTTATTGTTTGGAATAATATTTAATAAATTTAATATGGTAATTTTTTCTCACGTTTTAGCTTATAATAAGAAAAATTAATAAGATAATGTTGTCCGTAACTTAAGTTGACATCAATAATGCGAGCAAAAGAAAGTTCTGACAAAAAATATTGTCTCGTCAACTACATTTTGATAAATAAGAAAAAAAGTAAAATTTTTGGGGGTAATTTAAATAATAAATACATTGTTTTTAATTAGTCAGTTTCTAAAGATTAATTACTTTTAACGGATTTCGAATATACCAATTAAAATGTAGTAATTCTTGAAAGTTTTAATTAGTAATTAGTAATAATACTCTAGTTACAGTTAGTGTCTTACGAATGAGATTTCTAAAGAAAACTTGCGTTTAAATTGTTTTTTTTTTTTTAAATTTAAGTTCAGTTTGCGAAATTAATCAAACTTACTGTATAAAATAATGGGATACTTGCAAGTGACGTAGTGTGTGTATATCAATCCTGATTGGTTGTTGAAACGTATCATTTGTTTACTTTTGTAACTGTTCTTCCCATTCTATTTCGAGTAAGCCAAGCCAATCAAGTATCAATTCTCTTAAGTGACACATTCTATATTCTTACACAAAAATTCTTTCGCAAAGATTTCAATTATTTCACTATATATTTCCTAATTCAAAGACGGGCATGAAACCATGTAGAACATAAAAAACTAATTATGTATCGAAGTTACCTGGTACACAAGGCAAAAATATATCATGATTGCAATAAAATACATAAAAAAAAATCTACATCAAATAAAAGACGTAGACGAAAAATAATTATATTCCAATAAATTTGATGTTCGATACAGTGCTGTATTTAATTATCGCTGTTTAACTTCTCGTTAATTAACATTCTGACTTATGTGGAGAAACTTAGTTCAACTTTAACGCGTCATTTTGTTTATGAAAGATCAGCTGGAGCTGACGTCTTAAGTCAAATGTGTTGGTATCTGTGATGATCTTCTTCTTGAAGAGCAAATACCCAATTAAATATGTTCCTATTGGTTAAACAATTGTTGTTGTTGAAAACTTCATTTCATCAAAGAAGACAAAGTTTTTTTTTTACTGGTATAAACCATGTGGAATTTTAAGCTAGAGAAACATTTGATGTTTGTTTTAAATTTACTTAATATGTAAATCTTTTTTATTGCTGACAATTATTAACTCTTTATTGAATATTTTTGGAACTTTGGGTTTACCGAGTTTAAATAGTTAGGTTCTAGTAGCATAATAATATTCATTAACTAGTAGTAACTTAAGCAAAGTACACTATGTTGATCAGAATTTCTATTTAAGTGTTTTTTTTTTTTTTAATATTCTATAATAACTTTAAATTATTTATTAACGAAAGATTTTTAGATTTGTGTGATTCATTTTAAAATGCATTTTTTGTACTTTGAAAAACTTTTTTAATGCTTACAAATATAATAAAAGGATATTTGAATTAAATTAATTTTTCGATGTTTTTCAGATGCAAACATTTTATTTTTCCAGTTAAATCTTTAGAAAATCGTCAAGAATCTATCTTTTTTTTTCTCCATTTTGTTGAGCAATGCCATTGTTTATAGTCATTAAGCTAAACTTTTTTGAGGAAATAACTATTTTTTAAAATAATAAAGATAATAATTATTTAATTATCGAAATATTTCGTTATCTCATTAATTAAATTTGCAAATTATCCAATTTATTTAATAGTATTAATTTAATTGCTAAATTAAGAATAAATGTTTAGATAAATTCCGTAAGTAACTCACTA